AGAACTGCCCAGGATCCAGGGCCTTTCCTACGCACAGCGCTTTGGCCTCTAAAACTCCACCCCTAAACTCAGTGCGGGCTTTCTTCTGCATATCCAAGAACTCATGAGAGCTGGACAATTCCTTTTGGGGCCTTGGCAGTTTTTAGAAGAGGTGCTTCCGCCTCCCCCTCTCTCCTGCTTCCTCAGCATCCTGGGTAGGGGGAGAGGGGAGTTCTCTTCCACCCGCCCCCCCACCAATCCTATGTGTGGGTCCGTATTCAAGGTGAAGAGACTCTGCCCAAGAGAGATTCACTCACTCACCCAAGGCCGCACAGCCAGTAGGCGGAGGGCTGAGTGCAGAGCCCTTGCCGTGCCCAGCCCTTCCACAGGAACGCCCACACCCATCTGCGGGCGCGCCTTCCCGGACCTCTCCCTGCTTTCTGCTCCCACAGCATCATATGGGGGGGCACCGGCAGTGCTGGCTCCAGGTCTGCTCTCACTGCAGTCCTGGTTTCCCCTCGGGACTGCTCCCTCCCAGGAGGCTGGGGATGGAGACGATGATGACATGTTCTGTTGGTGACAGTCCCTAGGGGCCCATATGTGGCCAACTCCAGACAGCCCGGGAGCTGTCTCTGAGGAGGGCCCATGTGCCGTGCCTTCCAGATGACAGCCTCACTGTCCACTGAGTGACAGCTGCCCAGACTGGGCTAGCATCCCAGTCTGCCTCACAGAAACTTCTCTATTAATGCACAAAGAAAAGGTTGTCCAGCTTAAGGGGCTGGTATTTTTGAGAGATGCCAAAAGAATGGATCGGTTAGTGGACAGAAACAAGGGGCCCATGCTGTCCTCGGTGCTGGATGGTCATAAGAGAAGGTATTTACCTATTTTTTAAACCAGGAGTTCATCTTGGTCTGTGAGTGCCGCTGACACGATGTTCCATTAGTTCCAGGCGTGTGCCACAGCGATCCCACAGGTTTATGCGTTCAGCTGTGCTCACCTCGAGTGTGACTCCCATCTGGGAAGGGGTTTGCTGTGTGGTCGCTGTGTCAGGCCAGCTAGCAGTACTGCAGGGGGTCCTAACAATGAGCCCGTAGAGGGGCTTCCATTTCCCGCCCTGAAGAGCATCGAACGTTGCCTCCCAGGCCCCTGTCCCCTCCTGCTTGGACTGTAGTAGCAGTCACCTGGCTGGTTTCCCTGACCACAGGCTCACCTTCTCCAGCCCATGCTCCAGATCCTGGCACTCCCTAGGCTCCCCTGGGTCCCAGCTTTACTGGGAGAAAAGCGTGATATTCTTGCCCCCCCAGTTCTGCTCTGGGGCATGCCTCTGCCAGGCCTCACAATGACCTGGACATGCAGGGGGTCTCACTCTTGACCAGTCCCACCCAGCACTTTGCTTGTGCCTGGGAAAGACTGGCTCCCTCTGCCTATCAAAATCCTGTCTCTCCTGGCTCACATGCTCCCAGGAGTCCCAGAAAGTCCCCCAGTGCTTTCCCCAGACCTTCTCTCAGTTGGACAGGATTCATTTTTCTAAGAAGGTGAGTGTTCCTTGGGTGTCATGAGTGTGGAAATCTGAAGCAGGGGAGATGACCGGGGAGAAGTGAAATCTAAGCTCAGTGGACAAGAAGGGACTGTTAAAAAAAAAAAGGCCTGAGATGGGAAGGCAGAGTCACATAGGCAGAGAGTCCTGAGCTGGCGGGGCAGGGGGCAGACTCGGAGTCCCTCCACCCTTCTGAGCCTCCATTTCTGCACATAGAAAATGCAGACAGTTGCATCTATCTTGTGAGCTTCATGGGACGGTCAGAAGGGTTAGATTAGATTCTGAATGCCAGAGAAGCCTTGGCGAGCGGTATCAGGTCATGGTCATGGCCGACATTTGCTGAGAGTTCACCGTGTGCTGGGCACTCTGTGTATTGTCACCCGTTCAGCCTTTACAGTGACCACACACAGTGGGATCTGTTAATTACTCCTGCTTTACTGAGGAAGATACTGAGGCACGGAGAGGCTGAATGATCCCCCCAAGGTCACAGAGTTAGGAAAAGCACACTCAGGATTTAAATCCAGACAGTCTGGCTCCAGGGACCTTGCTCCCAGCCTTTGTGCCACACTGCCTAGGGACCGCTGGGTTCAATGGTAGCCTGTGGGCTTGAACCTAGAGAGTCTGCAGCTTTCCGGCCACCTTTGGGGTCAGGAGTAGGCCAGGTCTCTAGACAAGCAGCCGTCTTGGTATCTGAGGACCTGGCCTCCCCACATCTCATGTGTCCAGCAGGTGGCCGGACCACTCCCACAGGTCAGCCTCGGGCCCCGAGCTGGGGAAGCTGCCCTTACCCTGAGTGCTCACTCTCCCAGGGTGGGCTGAGGATGCCCACAAAGTCCCCACTCAGCTCACCGGGCGGGGGTCCCCGGGGGCTCTCATCTTCCACTGAGGAGCAGGACGGTGTTGTGAGTGGAAGCCACTAGTGGGTCAGATAAACCGGTTTGAATCCTGGCATGCAGCAGGCGTTCCACACAGCCCCAGCTCACAGTACTAATAGCAGAAGCAGCGAGAGCCCTCGTCATTTGTGTCCCTGGAGGACTGAGGCACACCTCTTCATTCATTCAACAAACCATTCTCGGTGACTGCTAGACGCCAGGCCCTGTGCTAGACAGTGGGATGGGGACGTGAATTTGACAGACGGAACTCCCTGCCCCCATGGAGCGTCCGTCATATTGGAGGCAGAATTCACAGGATAAGCACAAAAGAGATGTTGAGTCATGATCAGTTCTGTGGAAGAAAAGCAGGAAAGAAGGATGGGGTGGAATAGTTCCATTTTAAATTCAGTGGTCTGGAGATGAAACTGGAGCAAAGCCTAGAAGGAAGTGAGGGAGGGCGCCATGCAGACATATGTGCAGGAGTGTCGTGTATCCGGTAGAGGCAGGTGACTACAGGCTCTCCCCAGATCCCGACCGTCTGCTGTGGATGGGGTGTCATTACATGGGGGGCGTGGCAGGTGGGGACTGGCGCACAGGATCCGAGGAGAATCAGACCCAGACCTGTGGGGCAGACACTCCCACGTCAACAGGAGACTCCCATGTAGGTGCTGTGGGATGCTGCGGGAAACGGGGTGCGTCTAAAGAGGGGGCTTCCCAGAGAAAAAAGTAGCCAGTTTGGGGGCCAGGTGGTGGAGGGTGCAGGGTGGGTAACACAGACACAGTTAATTTCAGCTGAATGGATCCAAGATGTGCATTTCTGAGGGGCTGGAGATCAAGGGGGCTTCCCGGAAGAGGCGGCCTTGGAGCTGAGCCCGGCAGACAGGCATGATGTTGCTAGAAGGAGAAGCAGAGACAGCCTTTGCCAGCATAGCCTGGTGCTCTGGGCCCAGGCACAATGCTGTCAGGAAGTGCCTCTGATGGGGCAGCCCGGAGCCCTGAGAGGAGGGTGGCTGTCCCCCTTCTCCAGGCTGCTCGGTCTCTCTGATCCCCCACCCTGGCCCCTAGGAGGAGGAGGAGGAGGAGGAGGCACTGATGGATATGCGGAGCCTGGGCTGCTGCGGCCCAGCTCTGTCACCATGCTCTCCCTCCCTCCGCCGGAACCTGACACCCTGACCACTGAGGCATAAAAAACAGAGAATTGGAAGGCTCAGCCTGTCAGGCTGGGAGTGGCCCCCAGAGAGGCCTGAGGAGGAGCACGTGTATGTGTGTGTGTGTGCGTGTGTGTGCATGTGCTCCGCCTGTGGTTGCCTATAGAAATGGGGAGGGGGCCAGGTGGGCCCAGGGGGTGGGAGCAGCTGGCCCCTCGGGTTTCCCTTATTGTTTCTGCCCTACCTGGTGGAGCCCCAGGGACCCTACATCTGGGCCTGGATGCTGAGGAAAGAGCAGCGCTCCAGGTCCTGCCTTCTGGTTGGTCCTTCTGGAGGCTCCTGCCCTTTGGCATCCTTGAGAGGAATCCACGGAAGCATGTCTGGGCTGAGGGTGGTCTCCTGAGGCTGTGTAACTCCTGTCCCCACTGCCAGGGAGGGGCCACATGCTCTGTAACCGGTGGCTTACAAAACCTCTCGCCAGCCAGCTACCAACACAACCAGGCCAGGCATTGTGGTGTCCGCTCTAAGTGAGGTCCAAACCAGGTGCTCTGGGAATCCCAGGCACAGGGAGGAGACAGGCAGAGCCAAAGCAGCAAGGTTTGCGGGCAGGAATTTTGGACTCCTTTCCTAGGGCTGGCTGGTGATAAACAGGCTCTCTGGGGGCTGAAGAAAGAGCACAGGGAAGTGCCAGACACAAGAAGCAGGGCCCGTGAGCTGCAGCGGGGCCAGAGGGAGCTGTCCTCAAGCCCTGCTGCGCTGCCTTTTCCCAACACCATCCCTACCCTGACACAGTTCATAGTTTCTGCCTGTGCATCCCAGCAGCAAACCTCAGCCCCTTTCCCAATGCCTGGAAGGCCCGACACACTCCCTCTGCTGTGCTCCCCAGCCTTCTCAGCAAAGTGCCGTCTGCCTTCTCCTGGCATGGACCTGAGCATCTGTCTCATCTTCCCCGGTAGACCAGGGCCCTGAGAGCAGCCCCCTCTGGATTCACAACACAGAGGGCCAGACTAGAACTGAGGTCACCTTTGCTTCTCAGTCCAGAGCCACTCAGGAAACACCCGGGCAGTGAAACTGAAACCACACTGGGGCACTGGAGTGCCTCAGTCAGGGCTGAGAGCCAGGTGGTCTGCAGCTTCGAACTTGGGTCAAGACCATTTTGTGAGCAATCCTGGGCATCGGTTTTCTCACCTGTAAAATGGTCTAATATCCCCAGGGAACACCTGGCACACAGTAGTGTCATGGTATGCATGATAGAGGCTGATACTCACTCCCTCTGCTAAGGAAAATGTTACAGGGGGAAACAAGGCCTGTGTTAGCCGTCCGCTTGATAGGAACATGGGCCAGAACGGCCTTTATTGGTTACGAAGAATACCTGCCGTTTCTGTAAGAGGCAAATGCCATTGGCATTTTCCAAACCTGACCTGACATTTGGTTCCTGTTTCTCTCTCCGCCCACCACATGCAGGGAGTGAGTTTTCCGGGAGCCCCTACAGCCACCCTCAGTATCCCTCGTACAACGACTCCTGGAGGTTCCCCAACCCGGGGCTGCTCGGTGAGTATTGGTAGAAGCCTGTGGGGCCCCAGGGCCATCAGCTGCCACATTAGGACTCTCTTTGGGCCAGGGTCCCTTGACAGCCTGCGGTCTGGTCCCTTAGTCGGGGTGGGTAGCTTGCGTCAGATATGTGCTAGCCAGGAGTTGTGATGGGAGCTTCAGACAGTAAACACCACTCCAGCTCTAATCGAGCCCCCCTCCCTCCCCAAGATGTTTTGGCAGATAAGGGAAAGTGGCAGAGAAGGAAAACAGAGAAAAAGAGGCGTTGAAGGAAGGAGGGGGAGTGTAGAAAAAGTACCTGCCCGGGAGTAACATATTTCTTAAGAATCATTGAATCTTCTGGTGAGAAATCTCTAAGAGGCAGCAAGGAGGCCAACTTGGATTGATTAGTAGTGGCTACCTGTCTTGATAAGGACTCTGAGGCTTAGTGATTGATTAGTGATGTCTGCATGGACTTCAACAGAGCCAACTCCATTGGGAAATTGAATGCCCTGTGCCCAAAGGCCTTCCTCGTCCTGCCATTCTGAGCTCAGCTGGTGCCCCACCTCTACCCAGGCCTCAGGCTGGCAGATTATCCATTGCTGGGGCCAGTCTGATCTGTGTATATCATCAGAGATATGTGTGCCCCTGCAAAGACCAAGCAGGGCTAACTCAGCCCTCAAAAGGCCAAAAAGAGCTGACATGAAACCAGCTGGTGAGTGATAATGGGAGCTGGAGGTTCTGGAGCATTAAGCAGGGGGCCAGGGCTCACAGATGTCACTCACCACCTGGGGATAGAGCTAGCCAATAAGCTTCAAGCAGCAGCATGGATCCTGCCCCAGCAGTTAGCCGAGGAATTCCTACACAGTCAGGACGCGCCTTAGAGATCACCCAGGCTTGTCTGTCCAGCTTTGAAAGGCCAGGTTAAGTAGAACCTATTAATTCCTGGATCCTGGATTATTTCAAGACTGGGAAACAGACTTTGAAAAAGCAAGAACCTGGTCCCTTTGGACTCAAGTTGCCAGGTCATGGGTCTGTGATTAGAGGACTAGGGCATACACGTGACAGACACCATCCCTTCCTGGCTGCCCCCCATCAGTGTACTTGGGCCTCCAGCTGCCCAGAGCCTTCTGGTGGGTCATGCAAACCTTGCGGGTATAATAAAGAACAATTACTACCAGTTACTACTCCTGGTCCCGAAGCCTAGAGATTTCATTTTATAGATGATTGGGGTCTTACTACTTTGGCCTCCTGTATGGGCTGATCTATAGACTTTTTTGGTTTTGGTAAAAATCAATTCTAAGTATTGAACCATGTCTCCATTTACCTAATGCTTTTCCTGAAACAACTGCTTGGAGAGGCCCTGGTTTCTGAGTTGACCTAGCTGTCAGTCTTAGGAGGCAAAGGCTAACCACAGTCTCCTCGAACCAGAGTCTTTCAGAGGGGTAGGGGCAGAGGGCTGGGTCTGGAGCCCAAGCGGACGGCAAGGGGAGGCTGGTGCTGGGTGGCATCTGAGGCCTTTGCTGCTCGTGCTGGAGGGTAGTTCACATGCCTGGGTGTTAGGCATGGGCTGCGCGTGCCTGGTAGGGAAAGATGAGGACTCTGTCTCAGGGAGCCTCTAGGCTGGGGCTGAGGGAGCCTCAGGCAAGTATGTCTGTGTAGGGAGGTGGTCAGTGCCTTAAGAGGGCCAGAGCCACTATGGAGAGGAGGAAGAACTAAAACTCCGTCCGTCTAAATGAGTACCAGCTCACTGTGTGGCCACTGGGGAAGACTGTTCAGGTGGGTTACCTTATTTTATCATTTCAACAGCCCAAGGGAGTGCGTACTATTATCTCTATTATACAGATCAAGACAGTGGGCTCATAAAGGATATATAATTTAGCCATGGTCACACAGCCTGCAGGTGGCAGAATGAGGACTCAAACTCTGGTTGCCCTGACCCCGGAGCTTATATTCATAACCAGGGTATGATGTGGTGCTCTTATTCTCCCTAACCAATGAAGTCCGAACAGCACAGCATCCAGGAAAAGAGGCCTTGTCCCTCCATAGGAAGCCTAGAGGGGCCTGAGTACTCAGGCTGTGTATGTGATGAGAACAGCTCTGACCAATTTTTGAAAGCCAGGTTACTGTATTTATCTGTCAGGCTTTCAGTTGCAAATCACAGAATCCACTCGGGCTGTTCGAAGCAGAAAACCAATTTATTAAGGGGTACTGGGGCTTCTAGAATCTCCAGGAGGACCAGACACAGGTGTGGGGGGACATGGTGGGGAACATCACCCAGCCACACTACCAGGGCTGGGGAGCCCTCCTGCTGTGGCCAGTTGGCTCTCCGCCCTCTGCTGCTGCTCTGGCCGGGGTGTGGGAGAGCTCGGCCCTGCCTCCACTCCCACTTGGAGCTGGGTGCCTCCGCCATCTGCTCCTAGCAGATGAAGTCTCTTGGCCCATTCACTTCCTCCCAGTGCGCCCTCACATGCAAGAGGCTCAAATAGGCAGAGCCCAGGAGACACAGTTGTGCCTGAGCAGCAAGCAGAATGGGAAAATGAGTTCATTCAGAGGCGGGCCTCGTACCACAGGACACCCTGCAAACACAGGGAAAGTCAACACAACACTGGGCAGACGGACATGAGAAACGGCCCCTGTACTTCCCAAGTCTATAACGTGGGAAATCGTAGTCAGGCCATCCTCCAGTCTGGGCCTCAGTTGTCTCAGCTGTAAAATGAGGATAATTGCCACTGGCGGCTTCGTTCAGGCAGGAGCTGCATCTGGCGCTCTCCTGAGGCCCACAGCCCTGAATAAGCAGTGATCCCACCTTCCTGAAGCACGGGGCTCACTGTACCATAGTCTTGCAAATTAGCTGCATGCCCATCATGTCTGCCAGATTGTCCTCTACCCAGCTTGTCTTCAGGCCTTTAACTGAAAGCATCCCCCTGGATCAGAGAGGTAGACCGACTATTTCTGGGAAAGGTACTAGGGTGGGGTGTGGGAAGCTGCTCTGAGGCTCCTTGGTGGCCCTGCTTGATCAGTGGGAGCTGCAGAAACAGGTGAGACCCCCCCCAACACGCGCACACACCTGTGTGCTCACAGCCTCACATGCACCACCTGCACCCCAGCCAGCCTGGTTTGTAGTCCCCTTCCCAGAAACCCCCCCAAAGCCAGGATGGGCAATTCTGCCCTAGTGAGGCTGGGCACTGAATTCTCAGGAGAACTCCCCTCCCCTCGAGCCCCCTCTGCAGGAGCCGCCAGCATGGTGCCCACACAAGGCCCAGCCAGGGCACAATGACCAGGCTGGGGGGCGGGGCACAGAGGCAGGTGAGGTGGGGAAGAAAGCAGGGGTTAGTTAGGATTAGAATGGGTGTGGTGGGGCCTGCTCTAAGGGGATGAGGGAGTGAGCAGGAACCTGGAATGACTGTGTCAAACTGATAAAACTGTGAATTAGGAAAAATGGCGGAAGAAAAGGACAAGTTTATTCTAAATGGAGGTCTAATGGGCACCAGAAAGACACAGTGCTTCATAAGGTGGTGGTTTCATTTCTCATGGTAAATGCAGGCATTTTTGATTTTTTGGGACAAGCTGGCCAAGAGATTAGGCTTTGGGAGAGGAATGAGTCAGACCCAGGGGTGAGTGGTGGCCTGTGGGAAAAGGGAGGGCTGAGCCAGGTTCCTCCCAGGAGACTTACATTTGCTGCCCCTGGAGAGCCCTTGGTGAGGGCAGTCCCTGCTGTTTTTCCACTCCTCTGCCCTGCCCAGGCCTGTAGGACCGCCCCCCACCCCCGGGGCACAGGCACACACATTCCTCTCTAAGGCAGGATGCAGGGCTGGCACCACAGATTCTCCATGGGGGATGTCCTAATGCTGTCCCAACCCTGAAGAGAGGACAGAGAAGGCTGGCTGACAGGTGTCTCTGAGCCAGGGCTCCAACTAGGAAGGTAACAGAGGAGGCAGCAGGAAAGCCATCTCTGGGAACACTTAGGCATGGGATGGGTGTCTCTGCCTTCTAGATCAGCACGGAGAGGTATTTCCCTCTCCTCCTCCACTGTCACTGCTGCCTGAGCCATACTCCCTCCCCAGGGGGGCAAAGGGAGAAAGCAGTCATTGGGACTGGGTTTGGAGGGCCAGTGGTAGGCGCTACAGTGCCTCCCCACTCCTGCCCTCTAGATCATGTACGAGCTGTGTAATCTTAGGGAACCTACTCAGTATCTGTGCCTCGGCGTCTTCATCTGCTACACGGGGACAACACTAATCTCTACCTGATGGAATTGTTTTGGGAATGGAAAGAGTGAATAGCTCTAAGTGGCTTAGAAGAATGTCCATTTCCAAAACACTTTCATATCCTTGTCTTGTGGTGCCCTCATATGACCCCATTATGACCTCCTTTTACAGAGGAGAAAACAAGACCCACTTGTTCAGGGTCATTCAGCCAAGAGTCCATGATTTGGTGCTCAGTGATGGTATCTGGGAGACTCACCAAAATTGGTTTGGATTTGGCTGGGATTTCAGAATAAACACAAGTCCACTCCCCCAGGGAATTAAGCAGATCACTATTCCCATGCATGGTCTGGGGGCCACCAGGGCCCTCACCACTGTCCACCTGGATAAACCCTGCCCCCCAGCACTGGGTAGACAGCCCATGGACTGAACCACGGTGGGAAGAGTCCTGGATGTGGGCTAGGCTGTGGCACTGAAAGGCCCTGTGGCTTTGGGCATATGGTTTTGTATGTTGAGCCTCGTGTCCTCACCTGTAAAATGAGGCAATGGCCTGACATCTCTAAGCTTTGTAGTTCTGAGAATCTGCTGGTCTCCCTGAGCCCCCCAGACTCTTTCATCCCTGGGGAGGAGTTTGGGCACAGCGTAGGCCTCCTGGAAGCCTTGTCTAAGCAGGTAGCCCCAGAATGAAGCCTGGAGACAGTGGGAGGAACCCAGCCTGGCCCTCACCCTGGCTCTGTCTGGAGGTCACAGGTAGGAGGGCCTCCACAGGGAGAGGGGCCACCATGGACTCCCATACCTCAGGCTCCCCATGTCTGTCTCTTCCTGTCCTCCAAACCCAGCCCAACCCACATCCTCCAGGAAACCTGACTCTGCCAGAATCATCTTGTATTCCCCAGAGCTCTAATCCCCCTGCTGACTCTGAACATTGGTCTGTGATGTTTGTGATTATTGCCCCTTATTGTCCCCAACAGAGCCAGAAAAGAAATGAGTAAATGGGCAGGGGTCTCTGCTATTGTCTGTTTACTGGGTGCTGCCGTGCATTTACTCATCTAACCTAGCTGTGAGCACAGGCCACATGCCTGGCTACCAACCCGGGACTGAAGACAGACACGGGGAAGAGCAGAGCCCAGCGCCTGACCATGTGGGGCTCTCCATCCAGGGGTAGGGGAAGCAGCAGTAAAAGAGATGGTTGGGGCCCAGGTCCAGGCTGCAGAGGAGGCTGAGCTCAGGAGGGCTTCAGAAAGGAGCACAGGAGGAGGCGAAGAGGCAGAGAGGCAAGGAGAGGAGGCTAATGGGCTAACCTGCCTGTCCTGGGGGCGGAGATGAGACAACGCATGTGGAAAAAGCGGTGCGAGGCTGAAGAAATGCTTCTCCACAGGTAGTTGCTGTTAGCATGAGGGTGTCCTTGAGACCTGTGCGCAGTCTGAGCTCCCTGGGGTGTGGCCTGTGCATGGTGTGGGCTGGGAAGCAGTGGTTGTTGGGGAGAAAGCCAGAGAGGTGGGCGGAGTCAGGTCACAAGGGATCCACAGGGCAAACTCAGAAGTGATGGCTTTTTACCCTCTAGGCCAGAAGTGGGCAAACTCGTCCTGTCAAGGGCTGGACAGTAAACATTTGGGGCTTGGCAGAACATGTGACTTCAGCTGTGGCAGCAGGACCGCATCCATGGACAGCACAGAATCAAATGGGCAAGGCTGAGTTCCAGTAAACCGTTATTTACTGAAACTGGCAGCAGGGAGGATTGGACCTGAGGGCCCCAGTCTGCCTCCCCAAGCTCTAGATGGGGAGGAGGCCTTGAAATCTCCTAAGAGGAAGCAACCCCAATTAAGCCTGCAATCTGGGGAACAGACTGGGACAGAGATCTTGGTGGCCTGGGAGGAACGGGAGGGGCCCCTGGTAGAAAGGGGACCCCAGGTATGGGGTTGCAGGCACAAGGTCACCCTTGAACCTCCGTGCCCTCTTCTGTCTCCCCCAGGCTCCCCGTACTATTACAGCGCCGCGGCCCGAGGAGCTGCCCCACCTGCGGCCGCCACTGCCTACGACCGTCACTGACCCTCGGAGCCAGGCGGGCGCTAAGCACTTATAACACATATCACTGAGGGCGATAGCCTCTCAGCCCCTCCGAAGACAGCCAGAGGGGCCCAGTGAGACCATCCCCCAGCAATCCCCTCTCACCTGAAACTCCCTCCCAACCTTTTCCTGCCAGGGAGCTGGGGTTCTATGGTAAGGCCATTGGACTTCTAGACACACGTCCATTTCTAAGAGTCAATCAGTGAGCTTCTCCCAACAGCAACCACAAGGAGAGCTTGCTTTTGTCACTTCAACAGCACCCGTGTAAATACCTTCTTGCTTTTTTGTGGGCCTGAGGGTCCAACTGAGCAGACTGCCCACCCATTATGCATCCAGTACTCCTGATGTGTCACAGGACATCTTAGACCTGTGTGCAGAGCATCCCCTCTGTCCTGGCTGCCCCCTACAGGTGGGCTCGGAGTTGTCCTTGAGACTAAGGATGCCCACCTCCGGGCACAGCCTCCTGCTCATTGCTACTTCTTTAACGTCTGGACTAAGAGGCTCATCGGGCTGGTTATGCTTCAGGCTTCCCCCTTGAGATCCCTCCTCGGGAGAAATATACTGGAGAGATGCCCTGCCTTCCTGACTCCATTTTTTTGGCCCCAGTGCAGTGTGAGCAGCTCTTTTCCATATCAAAGGACTCAAAGAGAACAATGAACTGTCTGGGAGATTCGTCAGCTACAAAGTCTAAAGATACTGTCCAAGGTGCTGACTGCATTGTGGACTTGGAATCCTGGGGCTGGACAGGACCCAGAAGACCATAGTCCAAGGCTGGGACTCCCAAGCCCCTGGAACCACTGAACTGAACTGGGATGTATTTTCTGAGGCATGCCCAGGCTCAAATCACATGGGACACCCACCATGGACATTTCTCCCACCCTCCAGGATGCCAGAAAGTGGATTCTGGGCAAGCCTGTCCCTGGCACGTAGACAATAATTAACAAAAAAGACATTATTGCACTGAGGACCACTCACACCTATAGCAGTCAGTCAGAGCTTCCCAATTAGCCCCTCCCTGTCCCTGTGGAGCCTAGTATGCAGCTAGAAATAGAGGTGCTGGGGTAGGAGCAGATGCTTAACTTTGCACAGTGGGTATATACCTATTGATGCAAGGGGTGGTGATGGTCAGGGCCATGGCCAAGGACCCTGGGAGCTTGGAGACCTCAGTGGATGCTGGTCAGAAAAAACACTTGGGAAGATGTGGGGGACAGAGGAAGGCCTTTCAGGAGGGGAGCAAGATCAGCAGTAAGGAACTGCTGTGTGAACTGGGAGTGGTTTTGAAATAGGCGTGCCAGGGGCCACCATCCCTTTGCCTGGAGCCTCAATTCCTTCAGTAGTCTTTCTTGCCAAGTCAGAACAACAAGATGAAGGCCCTGTCCCAATCTAGGCTTAATTACATAGATGAAAATGGACTTTGCCGTCTTGTGTGACAGGGTCTCTGATGTTTGCATGTCACCAAGTTGGCAAAGAGCTGGGGCAGTGCACAGCCTGGGGTTACTGGGCCTGGGAGGTCTTGTCCTGGCCACACCACTTCTTTGCTGTGTGACCTCAGACAAGAACTTCCCCTTTGAGCCTCGGCTGCCTTGGTATAGCTGGGTCACCTACAAGGCCATCCTCCAGTTATCTCCTTGCCTTCCTCTTTCCCAGGGTGCTGGGGCTATAACTGGGCCATCCAGGGGTAGGTCTTCTACTTCTGAGCAAGCATAGGGGGTGGGCATCTATGTCCTACTAATATTTGGACCAAATGGGAAATAAGAACATGCAGAGGGATGGGAATCTGCCTTGAAAAGATCTAGTCCAGCTCCCCCCAGGGGAAATTGAGGCCCAGTTTGGGGAAGCCTAGGACAATGCAGGGAAATAGAACAGATCTCTGGCCACCATGTGTTTTCTCCCCAACATCCTACAAGGTGGTGGCAGAGAAGAGGAAACCGGGGCTCAACAAGGTGGAGTCCCAGGCAGTAACTGGCAGAGGTGGGGCTAAGATTCAGCCTCCTGACCCCTGGCACAAGGTGATCCCTCCATCCCTGGAGAGGGAAGTTGACAGCAAGGGCAGTGGGAAATCGTTCTGGGCCCACTGCCACAGATGGAAAGTCCTGAGCTACTAGTGACAAGGAGGCCAAGCCACCCAGGGCAGAGGTGGAGCCAGGGCGTTCCCTGCAGGCACACCCACCACCTTGGAACCTGCTGGGCGAAGAAGGGAGGTAGCTTCGGGCAGAGCCCACCTCCAGGAACAGGATGAACTAGCTCCAGCCTCCACCTGCCAGGCAAGGTAGGAGAAGGTACGGTAGCTGGCCGCTCCTTTCCTCCTTTCCTCCCTCCTTCCCTCCTGCAGGAATGGGTGGGCCCAGGGGTCTGCAGATCAGGCCTTTGGCCTTTTGTACCCACACCTTTGGTCCACGTCCCCCCTTGTGGTCTCAGGCTATTGGGAAGTTGGCCTTCCCTGAACCAACTGCTTAAAGCAAACACTGTCCTTCCTCATCAGAGCCCAGCTGGTCCCCTTCTGTTCCTTCTCGCACCCTGTGATGAGCTCCGTCCATGCCTTTCCTATCCCCTCTGAGGCTCTGCTGGTCTTCAGATCGCATTTGTACTTATAAGACAACCCTTGATTCCTGGGCTGCCGGGCAGAAGCACAAGAGCACAAGGATGTACGCGCACGTTCTCACACAAGTACCTGCTCTCCCCAGCCCAGAGTCCACGCGCTGCCTGGTGGAACTGCCTGGGAGCTTAGAGAGAAAGGTTCCAAAGGACACAAGCTGTTGAGTAAATGCCAGAGAATTCTGAATGGAAAACAAGGCCAGGGCTTTCACCAGCACTCTGGCTGGAGGCCTGGGGTGCTCCTCCACAGGTCTTCAGCCCTATGTTCCGGCTCTGACTTTCAGAAAGGACCCTGTGGATTTTATTTAAAAAAAGTTTCATACCATTAGTCTAGCTCCAGCCTTGAAAAATCTGAGGACATATCAAATCCAGCCTCCCTTTCCCAAGGCGCCTTAGTTAGGGTTAGCCCTTTCATAACTCATATTTATATGGTGCTTTGCAATCCTTGACCATTCCCTGGGGCAAAGATCACAATACGCACTCTAGAGATGGGAAAACCGAGATTTGGGGCTTGCATGGCAAGACAGAGGTGAGGTGAATTCTCAGATCTCTGGGCCTCATTCTCTCTCCACAGAAATTGTGCTCTTGTCAGGGGAGCATATGGCTTAGACATACCCTTCAATCCCTAGAAACCCCCTGTACCCACAATGAGGAAAGAAAGAACAGAGACCTAGAGGCTGGCCTGACCAAATGGCCTGAGGCTTGGTGGCTTTGCTGGTCTACCGTGGTTTCCATTAACACCAAACCTGCAAAGTCTGCCCAGATTCCTTCACTTCAGTGCTACTGAGGTTTCATTCACGTTTCTTCCCTGCTGGGTCCTGAGACTCTGAAGGGATCTGAGCACATCCAAGACCACACCATTGGCCCTGGCGAGGCCTGGACGTGGGCCTGCCTCTGATTCCCAGGGTCTAAGGTTCCAGGGGTTACAAGATGTCCCCTCACTGTGGCTCTGACTTGACTTCAGACCTGTCTGTGACAACATGTAGGCATTCCCCAGCCAGGCCCTGATGGTGGCCACAGGCCTGGGAAACACAGATTGCAGTCTCCAGGCCCCTGAACTGCTGCTTCCCCAGTCAGGCAGGTAGAGTCATCTTGCCACTTAGGCGGGGTGTGAGGAGGCATGGGGGGTAGGACTTGGCCCCATCCAGGGGCATTCAAAGGTGGAAACTTTTTAAATGCTTTTTCAGCCAAAAGAATAGGTTTGTGGGCCATGTTTGATCCACTGGCTCCTAGCTCGTGACCCAATAATTTTTGTCCAGTGCTACCTTTCTTCTTCACCTCCTGCCTTTCACTGAAGACGGGAGCCCAGGGAGATGGGAGACGTGTTTCAGCTTGTCAGGCCAGTCACTGTCCGGGACGGGCCTCCTCAGTCCCTACCCCTCCCTCCTCACCCTGGGCTCTTGCAGACTGTTTGGGCTTTGAAGGTGGGTTGGATAGGACAGTTGGGGGTGGTGGGAGTGGACGGACTGTTGGCTTTGAGTGGGGTCTTTCCTGTAGGGGGGTGGGGGGGAAATGTGCCCCAGATGTGGCCACAGAGCACTGAGGGGTAAAATCCCTTTATGAGAAGTCATAGCCCAGAGCAACTGCCCTACCTTTGGGAGCCTCTGGTAGCTTCTCTCCTGGATGACATTTCAGCTAGATTTTAGCTCCAAGCCATGGGAAGCAAATCTTAAAAACAAACCAAGCACTCCTGACAAACACCTAGAAACAAGATATGTCTGAGACACAGCTGCCCTGAGGGTAGGGAGAAAGCCAGGCCCCTGGATCAGCCAGGCCCAAGCTGGAGCGGATGGACACCCACAGAGTTCTGGGCTAGACCAGCTCCTGGGAGGCCCCGCTAAGAAGCTGGCTTTGCGGCCGTGGCCCTGTCACCCATCTAGGAGCCTGCCTTTGATGGTTTCCAGGCACGCACATCGGTGCTCCTGGAGAATTTATTCCTTTAGTTCTTTTGGCCTCGGAGAGGTCCAAGGCAAGCACATTTCTTAAAAGGTAACAAAACATAATCGGAAAGTTGGACAGTCAGGCCATGACTCCTAGCCTGCAGTCCGCCCCACCTCCCAGCAGCCCCTTCAGCCCCCTGTCCCCTGCCGACCCCTTACCTCAGGATTCCCTCTTGCATATTCATGGTGGAGCCACAGTGTTGATCTGCACTTCCCCACTGTCAGCTTGCTGCTGCATCTCCGGAGTGGTGGCCAGGTCCCGAGGGGCTGCCAGGGAGGACTGGAAGCAAGTCCCCGGCCTGCCCGCTCTCCTGAGGAGGGGTCTACAGCTTCTGGGATGTGGGCTGCTTGCCAGGAGCAGCCAGGCACCAGACTTTCTTTCCTTTGCTGTGATTTCTTGACACGGGATCCCGTTCCTGGACCACCCCCCACCCCAGGATCCAAGGAGACCTCAGGGTCATGTCCCTGCCAATCTAGAGTTTCAGTCCATATGTTCCCAGGGGTCCCATTTAGCCCAAGTCTGAGCTGGGGGAAATGTAACCATCACGCAGTAAGTCTAGATATGCTCCTTCCCACATCTTAGACCTCTGAGCAGCACAAGGAGAAAACACAACTATTTACTGAGGAAATCGTAACAAATTCTAAAACGGAGTCCGTCTCAGGTAGTATATTTGGCGTGTGGGCA